AGTCAAAAGGATTTTACTCTATTTTAAATGCTGATGAAATCACTTACAATGAATGCTGCTCCTTGATGTTTAAAAGTTTTAGTTTCCTGCAGAATCAGCTCGTCCCCTGAGCACTGGGCCCTGACTTACTGTTTTAGAGTGACTGCTTTCTCAGAGTGAAATGGAGTCACCCTTGTATGCACTAGTAAGCTGTGTGTCTCTCCACAAACACAGCAAGTCAAGCTGCTTCCCTCCCCCTCTCACCTCCAACCTAGTAGATGAACAGTTGCTGAAGTCTGCAGTGAACTTTGTGATCTTGTACTGGACAAGAAGTTCAGGGAAGCCGAGCTGAGGGACTTTGAAGCAGCCGTTCAGAAACTTGATTATTGTAAAGCTGGCCATACTCCTATAGATTTTCTATGGCCAAGCTTCAGTAACTTGCTATTCAGCCCCGCTGGTTATCAAAATACCTGAGCAATCTGATTGGATGCAGGCATTGTTCAGGTATTTTGAGAGCCAGCGGGGCCGACTAGCAAGATACTGAAGCTTGGCCCAGTGGGAGATTCCTCCATCCACACAGTTTAGCGTAGATGGAGGAATCTGTTGCACTGTTTCCATCTGACCATAGAAAAATCTGCAGGAAATCTTCACATGTAGGTGTCAGCATTTTTGCGCATATTAACACGCGTTCTTGGCTAATGCTTTTGAGAATAGTTTGTGTGCATGTCTGATGCACTTACGTTAAGTCACGCAGCTCAGCTGGCAGATTCTAAGACATTACTATAAATAGGCAAATGTGCAAAAACGTGCATACCTTCTTATTTCACACAATTCCAACCAAAAGAAGCTCATGTACCGCTGTCAGAATACCCAAACAGAGTTGGCAACTTATTGGCTGCCTGCTCTGTTCGTTGAAGGAGTCGGTTAGAAAATCTTCCATCAGCTGATCGAGGGATGCCGGATGAAAGGGTGTCGGCAGTGGCACTCACTGCGCAAAATTCACACATGGGGATGGCCACCTTTACACTGACCTGCCCATGTTCCTCCCAGAGCCATCCTGTGCAGCCCAGCTGGACCCTGCTTCTGCACACATGCAGACAAAATCCCATTCGCCTCTCACAGGAGCATGGACAGGTAAGAATAAGACTTTGGGCATTTTTGGGCATTGGGACTGGGAAAAGCAGGATTTGTTTAGAATGAGCAGCTTATGAGATTACACAGGTGTTAATTAAAGCCCATTTGAAACCAACTTACAAGTAGGGAAGAAGCTTGCAAAGACTCAAAACCACTTTTTATTCTTTGCTTTTACTGGTGGTCTAACAAACACACTGTAGCTTATTTGGTGCTACTGTAGCATACTCCTAAACGGTTTTTATTTTCTCGCCATTATTCCTCTTCTGAACCTGACTGCCTTGCCAGATGAGATCCATATAGTTGCCGCCATTCACATCCTATTAATGGCCTGAATGAAGAATGCAAAAATGCAGGCCCACGTGTTTCAGAATTGTAGCACTGCCTTTTTCAATATCCACTGCAGACTTACCCATGCACGCATGCACTGGAGCATGAGAGGCTACATACAGTGAAGCTGCATAGCAGAGAATTTGTGATAGTGACAATGGTGAGTAGAGTTTCTAGTTGTGGTCCCGTTACCAATATATGACTAGAACTGGTCAGAAAAGTATAAAACAAGCTTATTAATGAAGAGGTTATACAGTCAACATAATAACAAAACATTTTTTTGTATAATGTGGTTCCTTTAGGTTTTTGATTTTTACACCTTTATTGACATATGAATTTATTTTATTATTCTGACACCGACAATGAATGCTATCCCTGAATCAAATCGAGCTATTATGTCATTCCACAGTAAAGGAAGTGTGGAATTTGCAGAAACAGGAGACATGTGCAGGCGTGCTGCAGGATGAAGCACTGATAAACTCATCATTAAGATTGAATCTCTTTCCAGTGACAGTTGCACAGCTAGATGAATGCATTCAGCCATGCAATAATTTGATGTTCAAAAGCCTGTACAGGTATTACACATTTGCATGTAATTTTCTTGTTAGAAAGTTTTATAACTACACAAGTGCAGTACAGAAATCTGGATGATATATTTAAAACAAAAAGGTAAAGAAAATATGCTAATTGATATTAAAGTGACATTAAACCCTCAGATTTTTTAACATAAAACAATACTGTAATGTGTGCCTTACTGTAATCTATGGTTGTTTCCCTTCTCTTTGCTGCTCTTCCTTTTAAATCTGTATCTGTTCTCATGCTCTGCAGAACTTCTGTTTTGCAGAAGACTGCCTTGTCTCAGGAATGGATACACGGTGTCTGTGTGTACGTTTGTATAGGCTTGAAACCTGAGCCAGCACTGCAGGAAGAGGCCCTGAGCTGAAAAGGGAAGTTTTCCACCAGCATGAGAAGACATGAGGATTTAAAAGGAAGAGCAGCAAAGAGAAGGGAAACAACCATGGATTACAGTAAGGCACACATTACAGTACTGGTTTATGTTAAAAAATCTGAGGGTTTAATGCCACTTTAAGTTATTAACTTCTTTGGATAAACAAATTCTCTACATTTTTTCATGATAATTACACATTTTTCATGCAATTAGTAAATCTTTCTTTTTGCTAAACATTATTCCAGATTTATGTTTTGGCTTTTGGGTTGTGGTTAGTATAAGGTTTTGTTTTAGAATGGGGAAGGATTAGAGCCCCTGTCTGGTTTCACAGCTATCCAGAGCTCAGTTTTCTTTACTTTTTTGTTCCGAGGACCATGATTTTTACCAGACAGAAAGGAAATCTGCAACAGGACACAAAAATAAAAATCTGTCAGTAATTCTAGCTTCCCCCTACTCTAGCTAATTGAAAGACATAGTGGAGATCTTGAAACTCTGACAATTGGGACATCCCAAAGCAGCGTATACCGAGGAGTGGGGAAAACTAAACCCCTCCCCTAAGACAGGAACTGAACAATGCTATTTGGAAGACACTCAAGCTGCAAACAGGATATGGAAACTCCCCCATATGAGTGATCGCCTGAGTACTGTGTAAGTGCCAGGTCCACGTGGATAAATGACCCTAGGGGCCTGGAGGCCTCTTCTACGGACATTGAAGAGTCAGATCTAATAACAGAAGCAGATATTGCATAGAAAAACCCACACAGCACAAACTAAACCTATACGATGAAGTGGTGGAAAGGGAATATTCCAAAATATGTTCAAAAGGAACTTTATGCACCAGGAGAACCATATGAAATCTAAAAAATTCATAGGTGGTTGTACAGGAAGAACTAGAAGTAACTACATAATTCACAACCTTATCCAGGAATGGAAGGCAATGGATTCGGGAAAGAGACAGCAAGCACTGGGATGTATTCCAGTGCAAATATTGATAGACTTGACTGTAAACCATTTAGCATTCTTCCCATGGTGTATTCCCTGGGGCCAGGGCCGTAGCTTCCATGAAGCAAGAGAGGCACTCGCCTCAGGAATGGCCCGAGCAGTGAGGAGAGGGAGAGCCACTCGGCCAGGATCTGACAGCTAGTGGCTCTCTCTCCCCTCACCGCTCGGCCATCCTGAAGTGACCGCTCTCTCCCACCCCTCCCCGGCTGCAGCACTCCCTCCTGCTTTACATCACTTCCTGTTCATTCATGAGTTTCTCAATGGGTAGTAGCACTCTCTATAGAGGTTCTACCCATTGATAACTGGATTATAGTAAATATTTTACTATCAGCAGTTTCTGCATGACAGGGAAGCTTCTGTACCGAGAGCTTTCCATTCATTTAGAACAGGGGCTGCAGTAAAAGTGATTGAGGACTCTGTCGACAATGTATTTTTCTATTTCAAAAGGCAAATGTCAGGGGTCTGTCCAGCACTGTGGCACAGACCTTTTACTGACTAATTTTTTCCTTGCAAGAAAAAAAAACAAAACAATCTGATAGCCGCCACAAAATCATCAGTATGAGATGGACCAAAAAAAAGGGAAACAGATGAAAAACACTGGCTTTGGTGATTATAATGAAGGCAAACCATAAATCAGTTTGAGAGAGTACACGACAAAACAAACTCAGACCAGAAAACAGTAATAATCTGCAAAAACTCTTGCAACTGAAATAGTCCACCTAGAGGGCATTCCATTTTTTTTTTTACAGTAAAACTGGAACACTTTAAGGGTTATGTTACACTTAAAGGATACGTTTAATACCAGCAACACTGGAGGGCAGTGCTTTTAGACTGAAAGGAATGTATTTAATGGTGTTATTCAAGATGAACACAATTTTACCCATAATACCTGGTGATCCTGCCAGTTTCACTTCTGATTTATATTCCATGCTTGACAAGTTTGTCTACATCTATATGATATGTATAACCCTTCATGTTTCCCTTGATCACAAGAAAAAAAACATTTTAGGTAGTTACACTTTAAAGCTAACCTATTAATAGAGGAGAAAAAAAATATTCTCTGCCGACCAACAAGATTCCTGCAATAAACTATTAAATGGCGTCAGTAGCCTAATATCAAATTAAGACAAGATAAAACCCCATATAGAGCCTTGGCCCTGAAAGCCCAAGGTACACCATAGAGTAATGTTTAACAAAACGTTAACAGCAGAATACCTGTTACCATCCACCTTACTGCCACTGCATATTGGCATCATGATATTTCCATATAGAAATCCAACATGTGGAAAGTGTATAATCACAAGCTTTTGTAAGCAAAATTTTTTTTTTTTTAGAAGTAACACTCTCAAAGATAAGCAGGTCCTTCTTGTTTTGATTCTGAAAGAACACCAAACCTAGATACCTTTCAACTTAATCAAAATACAACAGGGCAGGCTTGTTTAAAATTACCAAATGTATCCATACGTTTAGAGCACGTTTTTTTTAATTTAATACTGGTGGCTATGGATTACTATTCATTGCTCATTGACCTTTACCCAATAAAATAAAGGACCGATTAATAAAATAAACAAAAAAAAACTTGAACTAAACAAAATATAAGATTTTTTACCTGGTCCAGCCTCAAAGCTCCTTCTTCAAATCGATGCTTGCGCAAGTTTTGTGCAATATTGTGGAGATTGAGCACCGCATTGTGGATTTCATCAACGGTGTGCCTGGATGAAACTGGAGGAAGCTCCTCAGTGCTGATCAGCTTGTTTGGATTCTCAATCATGCTTTGTGCATGGTCGTAGCTTAGCTTTACACAGGAACAGATAATAGTTCGGCCAAACCACTCTTCCAGGATCTAAATATGTGGGAGAAAAATACACTCCAAAAAATTATTTTTTATAACACAGGTTTGTGACATTTACCATACACCTGGCATTGCATTCTCTCACCTTTCCTTGAGGAGTGATTTTCCATATGACAGAAAAGGTAAGTCTGTCTGCCATCGGGTTAAGGCTGCAAAGTTCTTCGCAAAGTAACCTTGGCAACATAGGAATTACCTGAAACAAAGAAAAAGCTGTTACACATTTTCAGAATAAAATAGAATAAAAAGAGACTGAGCCAACACTGACAAGACAAGCGGCACAAGAAGTGTAAAACTGAATTCTGAACCTGGCTAGGTACCTAATGTGTCATAGATCTCGTCACACGAGGGACACCTGATGTGACAAGAGTTTCAGTGAGTTCACAGAAATCGACTGGGCAAAGGGTTGGATGCAGTGCAATACCGCTGCTGTCCAGATTGGGAAGGGGGTGAGATTCTAATTTTCCAACTTTGGCTAAACATTTCTTTATTTTTTATGTTGTGCAGGGGAATTAAAACAAGTTTTCATATATCTCATTGGAAAGACTCATTTGTGGCCACAAGACCGCACATTGAAGGTACAGGTAACACCAGGACAGAATGCATAGACAGCAATAAAAATAAATTCAAAATTATTAAACCTTTTCTACTCTAATAAAAAAGTATTTTAATTTTGTGTCCATGTCGGAGAGGTTTCCCACAACTTCTCGTCTGGTCAGGAAATAAGGGATATTGCCCCCTACAGACTATTATTGCTCAATCGAAGATGCCAAGGATACAAGTAATTTCAAAAGTGATAAAACCACTACTGTTTGAGCTCTGAATATTTTGCTCTTTGAGTTATATAAAGGTTGTCTAATAGTGTGGGTTCTTTGTTACTGTATCTGTACCTAAGAAAAGGCTCTAATTCTTCCCTGCTGTCAAAAAGGAAAAAAGTTTTCTGGATTTGGAGTCTCACAAATTTGTCAGCCCGAAACTCCAAAAAATGTTTTCTAACCTTTTAAAAAAAGAAAATTAAGATTTTTAAAAATGTATTTCACTTTACTACTGGGGGTTCTGGGGAAATACCAGGGGTCTAACAGACCCCTGATATTTCCCTTTTGAAATCAAAAAGATTCAGGACACAATGTTCTCAAGTGCTCCTGTCCATTCATGAATTGTGGAAATAGTATGAGTTACTATGTCCACAAACATGAATGAACGTGATGTAGAGCTCTTCCAGTTCATTCATAGTTGGACACAGAAAACATACTATGACCTCAATTATTAACAAACACTCTGCGATCAGCTGATCGCTTGTAAGCCGCTCTCCATCCTGACTCGCTGTCACAGGAGGCTGAGTGGGCAGTGCAGGGAAAGGGAGCTCGGCATCCTGTGATAACATGGACAGCGCTCTGCTCCCTGTTCTGCCTCTTGAAAGTTTCTCTCCTCCCCGCTGGGTGCTGCTCTGTGTCAGAGGGGGCACAGCAGCACCCAGCGGGGTGGAGAGAAACTAGGGATGCACTGCATTTCCCCCTCCCCCCAAAAAAAAAATGTAAATTTTTTTTGCCAATTTGCCCAAAGTACCATTTTCGGCCGATATGTTTCAGCTGACAAAATTTGGATGCATCCCTAAAATGCCTCTAGGTCATGTGTAGTCTTTGGTGGTCTTGCATGAACCGCACGTTTGAGATTTCCCCAGTGTGGGCTTGGTATCAAGAGATCCCCAAATTTTCCACTTCTTAAGAAGTGATTAAACAGTACTGACTGGCATTGTCAAGGCTTTGGATATGTTTTTATATCCTTTTCCATCTTTATAAAAAATTCCATTACCTTGTTACGCAGGTCATTTGAGAGTTCTTTTCTGCTCCCCATGGCTCAGTATCTAGCCTACTTAGTTTATCCACGTGAGAGTTAACAAACTCATTGACTATTTATATATAAACACTAATTTAAAAAGCCACAGATGTGGGAAATTAACCTTTAACACTTTCGCTGCCGCCGCCGTAAGGCTTGCGGCGGAACAAAAAAGTGTTCCTGGCTGGCCAGCTCAGTATGCCTTACGTCGGTGGCATTTACAGTTCTGCTATAAGCTCATGGTCACTTCAGTCTGTTCCCCAGACTGTCCCCTTCAAATGAATAGCTGTCATCAGTGGCTCACAAACCGCTGATGACCGCTATTAGCCAAAATATCGGGCGACCCCCCCTGCGGCCAGCCGCCGGCATCTGTAGTCTCTCATCCCTGCCTAGAGCCGCTCCAAGCAGGGATGAGAGACTACATGGATCCCCGCTTCTGTCCCCCTCTTGTAGGGTCTGTTGCAGCGGGGATCCGAAGTAAAATCACCGGCGGGGGGAGCGAGCGGCAGAAGGCCGCAATTCAGGATGGCCGAGCGGCATAGTGATCGGAGCCGCTGTAATCCTGTCAGTTTTTGGATGACAGCGGCTCTGTAGCGTGGCCGAGCGGGGGATCGTTAAATATCATTGATATTTAACGATCCCTCTGTGCAGAGCAAACACCGGAGTGATCGTCTGATCACTCCGGTGTTTGTAAATAACTGGGGACACAGAACTATGTGTCCCCAGTTATGAACAGGCTGTGATTTACATCACTTCCTGTTCATTCAACAATTTATGAATGGGGAGAAGCACTCACTATAGAGGCTCCTCCCCATCCATAAAGTGGTGATAGTAAAAATATTTTACTGTCAGTTTCTAAATGAATGGGGAGCCTCTGTACTGAGTGCTTCCCATTCATTGAGTGCTGGGGCTGCAGAAAAAGAAATTGAGGACTCAAAAGGGAAATGTCAGGGGTCTGTTTAGACCCCAGATATTTCACCGCAGCGCCCCCAACAGTAAACAAAAATAAATAACAATTTCAAAATAAATAAAAAATTTAAAAAAAAATTTCTAATTAAAAAATGTGTAAAAAAAACCTAACAAAAAGCACAACCCCTCCCCCACATAACATACACATTTTGTAACATTTTGTTAGAACGCATCGCAGTACATGATTTTTTTTATTTTTCTTTCAAAAAAACATTAAACTGTGGCAGCGCATGGCAAAGCTTTGTGACGCATTGCCATGCGTTGATACCTTGTGTTGTAATTAAATATACACCTGTATCATTTTTTTATCACAACCCAACCACCAACACTGTGTAAAAACAAATTTTAACATAAGTCGCTTATTTACAGTTTTGCGTACCTTCATTTTTTTACCTTTTCGCAAAAACACGCAATTTCAAATTTGCAAATATTTGTTATTTATTAACTCAATACAGTTTTATCTTTTAGATTGTCAGAAAATAAATTTTTTTTGTGCACTGGTACTGATTTTAGGGCTTATCAATTAAATTATGTATTTTTATCGGTTTAATATTAATATGAGAAACATTTGCGCAATTATCGCAGGGCCAACAAATTTAGTAGCACCATCTTTTTATTCTACCGGGCCTGCGCTTTCAGGAAATATATGGTTTGGGGGGTCTTTTACAAACACTAGCAACGCAGCATTTGAAAATCAAAACAATGGAAAAAATTGCCGGAATCTGGAGCCTCTCATCTCTGCCTGGAGCCGCTCAAGGCAGGGATCTGTGACTCCATGGATCCCCGCTGCTGTCCCCTGCTTGTAGGGGCTGTGGCAGCGGGGATAAAAAAAAAAAATCTCCAGAGGGAGCTGAAATCAGCTGTACATCGGCTAGCTGCGGCTGGGTTTGGGTCGACCGAACATGCTCAGCATGTTCGGCCATCCCGAAGTGCAGAAGGAGTTTGACTCTGCTAATCCAACATCTGGATCGGCTTAGCCAAACCTCCGGCAGGCTACTTGATGCCGTTCGGCCTATTCTCATAGCGGCATTCGGCTCAGCTATTCTGCTCGGTACCACTGTGGTACCGAGCATAATAGAAAAAGGAGAAAATGATTGGGCGGAGCTAGCAGCGACAGCTAGCTCCGCCCAACTGTTTTCTATTGGACGGGACCAGCTGTCATTACAATGAGAGCTTGTCGGAGCCGCCAGTGATATAAAAGCCAGCTCCGACAAGCTCTCATGACAATTCAGCGTCCCCTGGTCACTAGGTAATCAGGAGATACTGAACTGTCATTACACACACTGAGGATCCGGCAGAGCTGTCGTGATATCATGGCTGCACCGCCGGATTCTCAGTGTGTAATGACAGTCCAGCGTCCCCTTGTTACTAGGTAACCAGGAGATAGTGAACTGTTATTACACACTGAGAACCCGGCTGAGCCGCCCTGATATCGCAGCTGCTCCGCCGGTTCTCAGTGTAATGCCAGATCAGCGTCCGAGGTTACCGGGTAACCAGGGACGCTGACCTGTCTCTGCATGCAAGTGGCCGGAGCCAGCCGTGAAATTACGGCTGGCTCCGCCAAGCTGTCAGTAGCATGTTGTCGGCCTGGCTGTTTGGCCAGCTTCGGCTTTCACCTCGGCTCATTCGGCTGAGCCGAAGGCTTGCAGTTTCTGAATGAATGGGGGGAAGCCTCTGTACTGAGTGCTTCCCATTCATTGAGTGCAGAGGCTGCAATTTCTTTTTCTATTTCAAAAGGGAAATGTCAGGTGTCTGTTTAGACCCCAAATATTTCACCATAGCCTAAAAAACATGTTAAAAAAAAAAGCACAACCCCTCCCTCCCCCCACATAACACACATTCTGGTGTATGCCATGCACATGCGCTGCAGTGAGTTGTTAGAAAGCATCGCAGTGCATGATTTGTTTTATTTATTTTTTTCTTTTAAAAAAAACATTAAATTAACCGTGGCAGTGCATGGCAAAGCTTTGTGACGCATTGCCATGCATTGTGATACCTTGTGTTGCAATTAAATATACGCCTGTATCATTTTATCACAACACAAACACCAACACAGCGTAAAAACTATTTTTAACATAAGTCGCTTATTTACAGTTTTGCGTACCTTAAATTTTTTTACCTTTTCCCAAAAAGGCGCAATTTCACATGTGCAAATATTTGTTATTTATTAACTCAATACAGTTTTATCTTTTAGATTTTGTCAGAAAATATTTTTTTGTGCACTGGTACTGATTTTAGTGTGTTTTATCAATTGAATTGTGTATTTTTATCGGTTTAATATTAATTTGAGAAACATTTGCGCAATTATCGCAGGGCCTACAAATTTAGTATCACCATCTTTTTATTCTACCGGGCCTGCGCTTTCAGAAAATATATGGTTGGGGGATTTTT